ACAATGCCGCAATTATCAATAAATTAACAGATGGCAAAATCTGTAGTATGGTTCTAAATTCAGGAAATACAGCTACCAATAGTGCAGAAAGTGACTGAGAAGTTGTTTGAAACGAAAAAATTTTGATTGACAAGTTAGTTGGAATTCACGGCACAGCAATAACAGGACTTAAACAATGGAACTTCGTAACTGAATAAGAAATTATGTCTGACTACAGAATTAAAGATAAAATATTAGCACAAAGAAAGCAATTTAAACAACTTGCATTGAAAGAAGTGTTCAGTAAAGTAAACGAATAAATATTAAGCTAGACTAGAAGAGAAACACGCTAATGTGACAATCAGAATCGTAAAAAAAAAAGCCTTGTATTTAGCGTAGGTATAATGAAACACTCAATCGATTTCGAGGGCAGCTAAAGGTCCCTCCTTGTCAGGAGAAAGAAATACATCGAAAGAAGAAAATAGGAGAAGGAGTCACAGAAACACGTGGTCCTTATCAGCATTGCACGTGGTTATAACTAGATTTTTAATCAGAGTTGCACTGGCCGCCTACTTTTACTGAGCCAGGCTATCTGATCAAGCATAAAGAAATATTAGCGAAGTTAAAATAGGGAGCGAGGGGCAAATGCACCTTACGCTCAAAATCTGAACTGCAGATTTTGAGTGTAAGGTGCATTTGCCCCTCGTTCCCTATTTTAACTTCGCTAATATTTCTTTATGCTTGATCAGATAGCCTGGCTCAGTAAAAGTAGGCGGCCAGTGCAGTGCTGATAAGGACCACGTGTTCAATTGAGTGTTTCATTATACCTACGCTAAATACAAGGTTGTTTTTTTTACGATTTTGAAATATTAAGCTGTTTTTTCGTAAATTTTGCTACCCTTTAAATCATAAATACTTCATTATCCCATAAATCACAATTTCATATTTTTAATTTTATAATTTCTACATGCCATCTTACAAGTTTTAAACTGCTGATCTAATATCAGGAAAAATGCCAAATCCGGAATCGCTGAAGTCTCGAGTCAGGATCGAACCTTTGTACTGTATAAAACTATTCAAGTCATAACCGACACTATTTGAAAGTTTCATTCATCAGAGCACTCTACATTTAAATATTAAAGCAATATTTGCACTTTTGGTTTTGAATGCTAAAATTCCATCTTTATCTTTGTTTTCAAACTTAATGAATGAAATTATGGTAGTTAGTCATTATTAGATATTATGGTAGTTCATGAAATTATGGTAAACTAAATGAGTTTTGTAACTCATTTAGTTTGCCCTTCACTAAATGAGTTACAAAAAAACTTCAGACTGCATTTTTTAGAATAATCACGCCTTCTATGTTTTCTGTTAATGAATAAAATCAAAGAGCCTTATGGTGATTTCTGGACATGAAAAATTTTGTGGATTCCAAATTCAGCACATTAGAATCAAAATCTAAACTTTCATCCAATGCTTGAACTAAAGTTTCTTTATATATATTATTCTAAGGACAATTAGTTTTTATTTGCATCTTTTAAAAGAACCCATTTTGTGCTTCTCTTTCTTTTTCTGTTTCTATATCATCTGTTGTACATAAGTTTCACTTTTTTTTTAATCAGCTAATTCATCATATAAATTTATAGGACCATTTCCATTACAAGTAATAGAATAAAACTCATTGCTTGTTATCATTTTTATTGATGCTGTTCAATCTAGAAGACCTGTTATCATAAATAAGGAAATCTTACCCTGTCTGGGCATGCACTCCATTATTTTCTCTTAAAATTTTTTTAAAGACAGCTCCTGTCATAACAATCATAGTATAGTGTGACAAGCTTGCTTGTGAAAAACAAGAAGGGGAAAAAAAACTGTTGCTACAATTCGGTCCTTAAGAAAGATCAAATTCAAGAAGAACAGTCTGAAATTCACTTGGTTGTTGTGGAATAAAACATGCAGTGTGAAAAGCAATAAAAATCATCCTATGTCATGTTTATGCATGGGAGTTGGGGATGCTGACCGAGTTAAAAATAATTTTTTGGGTTGAATTAAGAATAGTTTGAATTGAGACATCATATACAAGAACACACAAAACTAATCAAAAAAAGTATTTGGATGTGTTCATTACCCTAAAATACCTTTTAAAACAGAGCTGGTTGATTCCTTCAGTAGTTATCTACCTAAGGAGGGATTTCATCAGGTCCTGATGAAAGAAATTGGCTCTTACCTGCTGTATAGAAGGACGAAATCGCAAAATACCTACACTTGTAGGTAATTTGTCATTTAGTATTGAAAACAAGTCAAATCATTTACTATTGAATCACATTGTTGATAATTCTTCCATACATACACGGATATGTGCTATTAATGGCCAGACTGCAGTTGTCGGGTTTCTTGACTGTGGCTTGCATCCTAATAAACTGAAGTTTTATTTTTGAAATTTTATTAGATTTGAAATGAAATCATGCTGTGATATGCTATTTTAACAGTCAATAGTTTCATTTTAAAAATTATTTGTATAACAGTTGCAAACAAAAATCTACATCATTTCTGTAACCTAGGGCTATATGGTACCATTTTTAACAATGGCTCTTATTACAGCCAAAATGACAAATACTTAAGCTACATACAACACAGATGATATACCTTGAGTTTATGATACTATGAATCTATAAAGCTATAAAGCTATAGCCTTAATTGGAAGAAACAAATGTCTTGCATAAGGAAATAACTGAATGATTTAGGATTAACTTTTATCATCATGTATTGGTTCTCAGCTGTGTAAGTAAATTAAGTTATTTATTTTATATAAAAACTCCACTAAGTTGACAATTTGTTTTAAATATTTATTTTTGAATTTGAAATTTCTTCACACAGTGCTCTATTTTATATTACTTGTTTATAATTAAATATAAAAAACATCACTGTTCTTTTTCTCAACATCGTAGCGTTATTCTTTACGTGAAAGAAAATGAAGTCTTTAAGATTAAAAATCATAAGCAGAATAAGGGGGAGAAAAAAAATTTTGCAGAGCCAAAAAAATCTATATTCTATTGTACTTGTATATATATCCTGTTTTTGGCTATTTCTTGCTCGTTCACCACATATGGTGTAATGGTCAGCTGATTTGTTTTCTTGTTGGGTTCTGGTTTAAATCTCAAATTAGGTGTCAAAATTTGTTACTGTAGTATTTTTGTGTTAAGTAAGTGGTTAAAAATCTATTGAACTGAAAGTTCTGTAGAGAGGTTGTTAGTGAGAGAAGTTGGCTAAGATATATTCAAATTCCATGCTCGAGGTTTTTTTTTTTTTTTTTTTTTTTTTTTTCTTTTCTGTTAATAACGGAATTTCTCTTATAAATTTAGGATAAACCATATCAGCAGAATAAAACTGAGCAAGAAGGAAAAATTGGTGTGGCTTTAACTGAATTAGTAAACCTTTCTTATTTGAATATTCTTCTTGTTTCCCAGAGGCTTTTGAAAGTGCACTTTTCAAACCGTAGAAAGTATGGGGAGCATTTGTTGCAGTGCAGGTTGTCAGCCCCTACTCTATCAGCCTATTCCCTATAGCTGTATCAGTTCATTTCTTGCAAATAAGCTGGACAATCCATTAAAGTGATATTTTCTGTTTCCAAGTTTCCTGATGCTACAGATATTTGATGCAGATGAGTATTGACATCTATTAGCAAAAAACTGGCCAGCGTCTTTTCAAACAGCCTTGCATGTTATTTCATGACCTTGTTCACATATCTGTGACTGGTTACAGAATATCCATTGAAGATAATGCAGCTTGGTATGACCATTTTTGATGATTCTACTTCAAACCAAAAACTGCTTCTGCAGAAGTATTATTTCCATGAACAAGGAATGCAAAGTTGCATGTCCCTCTCTTCCAGATCAAAACAAGTTAAATGCTGCCCCTTTGGAAGGTAGCGAGTGGGACACAACCAATTAGCTTTCTCATAATGTCCATCCTCCTGAAGTCTTCATGCGTAAGTACAATCACTAATTCAAGTTGCTGTGACTGCTTGAAGGTTTGAAACCAATGCTTTTGTAGATGTTTCATGATTTCTTCTATATGGAGATAACAGAAAATAGCTTTCATATGCAGTTGCTGCTCTTGATTGTTCTAGATTAGTATGCCTCTTAGCTGATTCATTGCTTCCTGATATGATATTTTGAGAGATATTTAGATCCTGGATGACCCCTGTTTAGCTTTGTTTCCCCCTCTACCAATTGACCAATACTTTTGCCCTCCATTAAATGATAGAGTCAATACTAAAGAATGCTGTTCACTGTCATAAACCACATAAACTTCAAACAACCTTCCACACCTGAATTCTAACATGTGTCTATTACATAACAAGGCAGTCACCTAATTAGAAGTCTTAGTTTACATTCAGTTGTGGATATATTAACGTAAGTAACTATACCATTGGACATCTGTTGAAAACTTTAATTAATAATTATATTTTTCAGGTTATCCTTTAATTGCAAGTTTTAATGCTTGATTTAGGAAAAAAAGTTCTAAATTTTGAACTTTGAATATTTTACAGTGCAGTATAAAGTAGTTTCTCCTGAATAAAAGTAGCTTTGGTTTCAAGTCATAACATTGAGTGATGAAAAAAAGTACTGTTGAAAATAATTGTCTTAGGTTATTAGTTTAGTTTAAAGTAAATTGAAAAGAATATTTGCAGATTGCTAAAGTAAAATTCAATAATGATCTTTGTGAAGGTTTAATCGTCTTATTTAAGAAAAAGGTCATGCAAAATTCTGAAATCTGTTGAGTAAATTTTCAGTTACCCAGATGTTATGACACAGAATTGAAAGGATGCTATATAACCTAATTTTGACTGTTTGTATGCGTGTTAGTGCCAACTGTTTACTTTATTTCATGTAATAGAAATAATTTCATTAGCATAAAAACCTTCGCTGTCACTGGCTAATAATAAATTCTGAAATTCTTTTTAGCTGTTTATCTCATAATTATTTTCTCCTTTTAAGAGAAAATGGTTTGCTTTATAGGTTTGCAAACTCCAGAAGATAACATATATGAAGAAGTGGATTTGCAACAGATTAATCAGGCTGATGAAGATTTTGCTGATACTGTTAGTTGGATAGACTCTGAAGCTGGTATCGATCAGTCTGCTAGTTCTGCCAGTGAAGAGCTTGAAGAAGAAACAAGCTCAACGAAACTAGCAGCCCGTTTTATTGGTAAAAAGAAGAAAAATTCTAAAAAGGGAAAAGAAAATGAGGTATTGCATTTAATAAATTATTAATTTTTATGCTTATTGATTTCTTTAAGGCAAATTTATTGGAATACCCATGTCAACACCTTTTTATTTATTTATACATTTTTTAAAATTTAATTTATTATTATATATTTTTTTTAGTTTACATTCATTTTGACATATATGTGTTAGAAAAATAAGATAGATATCCAAAGACCAAACTCTTATCTGTGGAATTTTTGACCAGTTCCAAAAGTAATTTCCTTTGAATGCAGCTTTTGAAATAATATTGAATAGAACACTGAAATTTGTCAGTAATGCTATTACCATTTTTTGCTCAATAAATTTATCCTCTAAAACTGCAAATACCATTTTTCTTTGGGTCCATTTTTTAAATTAAGAAACTGTTTTGAATGTGTTTAAGTGCTTTTCTAGTGGTAAAAGGGAGATGTTATTATAATCTGTAAGATAAACTGGAAAAATGCTTTCACCAATTTGTCAAAAACTGAACACATGCGTGCTTTTTTTTTTACTTCCCATACTCAATGGCATATGTGGACACTTATTGTTGTGAGGAAGCATTATTCTTTTTTCTGTTGACACTAGCAGGTAGCCTGAATGAAACATGCATGAGACAACTAATTGACCAAATTAGGCATTTGAGTTGCTTTAATCAGTTTCTAGGAGCTGGTGGGGAATTATATCGTTTTGACCTCGACAAATACACAGCAAAACATTTTATCCACTTTGGCAGAAATTTACCAGTCCTGATAAGATGTAAAACTCAGGAGAGCTTTTTATCCTAACAACATCAGCTTTTTATCCTGAAGCTCCGAGAAAGAAATGATGAAAGAGATTCTTTAAATCTTTTCTATTATAGCACAACACATATAAAATTTTGTATAGAAAAATGCATGTCTCAAATTGATACTTCTAGCAGAAAATATATATTCAACATGACTGATGCTTTTTTCTTTAATTCAAGTGGAGGTGTCAGAATAAAGACAAAACCCATTTGAATATATCTTAGTTGACTTGTTCCCCATGGGTCACTTTTAAACTAAATGTATTATTCTATTATCTCTTAAAATTAATTTCATTTTCATAGTGAGTATTATCAATAAAAGGTTTTAATACTTTCTGATTGGCTGTACCCGCATAAAAAGTTGTGAAGTCATTGGCAGGAAAGGCTTGTTTAATTTTTAGGGCTCATAGTACTGTTCTATTCATATAACTAATAATAATATGAAGTGTTTAAAAAGAAACAAGAAATTTTATGCGGAAAATTAAAGACTAAAGCAAGCTTTTACATTCTTATAGATAGCAGATACTGGTCATCAGAATAACAGCTTCATATAAAGCATGCAAATCCATGTGTACTGAAAGATGTTTGTAGTATGTGAATGCCTAAGTTGGCTATTGTTCCATTTGTACTAAAAAATATGCCCAAACATGGGCAGTTTTATTGCGTGGTAAAACTAGGGTGCAGATAATCAAAAAGTAACGTACTTTAATGTGTTTTATTGTAGGTTTTTGTTTAAATAACTAATATAAGAAATATAGTTCTAATGTTTAAAAATATTTACTAGAATGTTTCCAAAGAAAATATTTAATATTTATAATGGGCCACAAACTTTCGTAAGTATATTATGTCATATGTTGAAACTGTGAAGCTGACTTTGTCATTTGATTCGGAAATGCAGTCGCCAAATCTCTACTATTTAATGCATTTTCATTGTCTTCCGATTGTTGAAGTTAAAATAAAATATGATCTTGCAGCAGATTATGTGGATTTTTCAATACTCCTCCGATTCAGATACATAAATTCTAACACTGTATGCTATACATGAAAAAGTATTTCTTTGAAAAAACTGAAATGTATTAAATGTAAAATGAAATAACATAAAAAAGTTATAGCTGCCTCAGATGGGAGGTCTACAAAGCATTTCTTAGAGGAGAAGCAAGCCTTTGTGTACACTTTAGAAATGTGTTAAACAAGGAAAGTGATAAAAAAGTTTATATTCTGAAGATCAAGGAATAAAAAACGAAGCTATATACGTAGCGTATTCGAAAATTAAGTACCGTTTCATTCTAGCGCCGTCGCAGCACTGTGGTAGGCGTCCCGCGCATGCGCACTAGTCTTTCTTGTTCACTGACTTTAAATTGTCGCTATTTTGGTTGCTCTATGTTGTGTTTTCAGTTTGCTGTGCACATTCAAAATGTTTTAAGACAATTAGTTCTCCCTCTGACTGTGAGATTCGTGCCGTGATTAAATTTTTGAACGCGAGGAATGTTAAACCGGCCGAAATTTATCCTCAAGTGACAGAAGTTTACGGTAAATACGCGATAAATGATGGAATGGTGAGAAAGTGGGTAAGAATGTTTAATGCAGGTCGAACAAATGTCCTCGCCGAGGCTCGGAGTGGTCGGCTTTCTGTTGTCACCGATGATTTGGTAAGGAAAGTTGATGAAGCAATTCATGAGAACAGACGCTTCACAATGACAACTCTTTCAGAGGCATTTCCACTAATTTCACGTACTGTTTTGTTTGAAATTGTGTCTGAACGCTTGAATTATCCCAAACTGTGTTCCCGATGGGTTCCAAAAATGCTCACTGATGTTCACAAAACAAAGCGACTTGATAGTGCCCTGACATTTCTCACGCGGTACAGTGATGAGGGAGAAAACTTTTTAAATCAAATTGTGACAGGTGATGAAACTTGGGTGTGTCATTTCACACCAGAATCGAAACAACAATCGATGGAGTGGAGACACACTCATTCTCTGAAAAAACAAAAATTCAAAGTGACAATGTCATCACAAAAAATCACGTGCACTGTCTTCTGGGATATGAAAAGCATTTTGCTTACTGAATTTCTTTCCAGAGGTGAAACCATTAATGCGGCACGATATTGTGAGACTTTAAAAAAACTAAGGCGTGCCATTGAAAACAAACGAAGAGGAATGCTCAGTAAAAGAATTGTGTTGCTCCATGACAATGCTCGGCCCCATACTGCTGGTGTCACTCAATCGTTAATTCGATAGTTCCATTGGGAGCAGTTCGATCACCTGCCGTACAGCCCGGACTTGGCGCCGTCCGACTTTCACTTGTTCCTGCACATGAAGCACGAGCTTGGTGGCAAGCGCTTTGGATCTGACGATGACACGAAAAATGCTGTGGAGTCGTGGTTATCGAAACTGGCGGGAAGTTTCTTTGACGATGGTATACAAAAACTGGTCACTCTCTATGACAAGTGTTTGATCATTGGCGGAAACTATGTTGAAAAATAGTTTAAGACATGTATTTTCATGTAAAAATAAAATTGGATTCGAAAAAATTGTTTTACTATTTTTTTTTTTTCAAAACAGTACTTAGTTTCCGAATACGCCTCGTACACAGTTGCCAAAGAATGGCAAACTATTTGTGATGCAAATGAATTTGTCTTCTTAAGTGGATTTGCATCCAACGTGTATGTCTAGTGGATATCCAAAGAAGGTTAATAACAGCAATCATATTAGCATTAATGAGTTTTATCAAAAAAGTTATAATACTGCTTTCTTATATATAAATCATTTTCATGATAAGTCGGATAACCGAAGGTTAGGCATCTCGAACTTAACTGTACTTGTCATCAGTATGTCTAGATTAAGTGGCTTTTCATCATTTCTCATAATTTAAGAAGAAATGGAATAAAAAAGATCCCGGGAAAAATATCTTTTTAATGAAGGAAGTTGTGACATAAAAATTTTTCCTTTGCATGATTTCTTCCTAGCAACTTTTGGAAATGGATTTCTTATTTGATTGATTGTTTGAGAAGTTTTATGGATATTAAATGATTTTCAAAAAGCTTGTAGGAAGTAATGAATTTTCTGCTAATTAATGTAAAGGATCGAGGTTATTCATTCATTATATATATATATACTCTTATGTATGTGTGTATATATATATATATATGCAAAAAAATCGAAGCACCATGAAGGAAGTGGTCGTTTTTAATGAAGTTGAATATATGTATAGCTCATACACAGATAATAAAATGATTAAAAAAATCAAGGTCATAGTACCTGTTCATGGCTCACAATCATCCATTGAGTGTTCAAATTAGTAATCTGTCGAACAGCCCCTGGCAGCAATTCATGGTTGAATTCGTCGAAGGAAGGAGGGGTAGAGGTTCCTAATGTTATCCTGCGACACATTCTGCCAGGCATTCATCAGTTGTAGCTCCAGATCTGCGATATTTTGTGGTGCTCGAATGTGGCGGCCTTACCATGCTCGATAAGTGAAAGATGTGGTAACCTTGCTGCCCAAGGAAGAGTATCAATTGCACGGAGACAGTCCAGAGATATGCGAGCAGTATGTGGCCTGGCATTGTCTTATTGGAAAATGTTCCTAGGATGACGTGGCATGAAGGGTAATGCACGGAGGGTATCAACATATCATTAAGCTGTTAAAAGATGTATGGAGGATGAATAAAGATGACTTGCTGTTATAAGAAATAGTGCCCCACTCCATCACACCATGGGTTATGGCTGTATGCCTTTGTAAAACAAAGGCTGATTTGGACTGCTGGCCCCATCCTCTCCAGACACGAACATGGTGGTCATCTGCTTCAAGAGTGAAGTGAGATTCATCGCTGAACACTGTACGATGCCAGTCTGATGGCAGCCATGATGATCATCTGCAAGACCACTCCAGACGGCTCCGCCGATGTTGTGGGGTGAAAGGCAAATTTCTTAAAGGCCTCTATGAGCATAACTCTGCTTTAGACAAGTGACGTGAGATGGTGGACAGTACTACAGGAGGTATAGACATAGTTGTAGTGTGCTGAATAGTCAACCATGATACCGTTGAGGCGGTTTGGGCCTGGCAAACAATTATCCTATCTTGCCTCACATTTGTGCTCCTTCCGTCCAGAGCCTTCATTTCATCGACAATTTCCTTTTAGCAACCATTGCTTCCAATAATTTTGCACAGCAGTGGCTGTATGCTGCAGGTGGCAGCCTATTGCTCGGTATAACCACCC